GTAGAGATATACTCACAAACATACACCTAAATTGTGTGCATATGTAGATATGTGAATGGCGGACTCTTAAGGTGAGGATCGTTTGAAAATTAGATTTATTTTCTAATTTGTCTGTTCCTCCTTTAGTCTGGTATTGTAATAAGATTTTGGTGTTTAAGGTTCTAATAATTTAATCCAAAAGGAATACTTAAAACATGTCTAAGTCCGAATTACCCATCATAAGCATTAGAAATACAGTAATGACATTATATGCCAAAGGTACTGGTTTGAATCTATGATTGAGGCTTGTCATGAGCTTGTTATTTATTTCAGCATTCTAATTACAACGCTTGGCTCTTTAAAGGTGTAGTTTTGAGGACTTTTGGCACAAAATGAGTGTCTTTTGTCAGGTCCTGGAGGATATATTAAAATTTCGATGACTTCTATTCAGCAAACTCTTTGTGTGTGAACATTGCAATGTATATCAAATCTTAATACGCGTCTTTGAAATGTCTAGATCTAGCAAATGGTTAAAATCCCAATATTAACTGGATGTTGCTCGAACTTACGAGGCTGAACTCTCCACTTGAAAAGTAAAGTCAGTATTTACTGTAAAATTGATTATAAACTTCTTAATTTCCTCAACGCTTCACAGAATTCCCCCACTCCACATAAATAAACTTCTACAATATGAGATACAAAGAAAAGGAGACAGCAGCAGCATCAGACAAAAAGGTTTCTAGATGAGTTGACTCTTAGTGTCTACTTAATATCCATCCATATAATAATAATAATAATAATATATGTATATTCACTCACATATGTATTATATGTCTTTTTTGTGTATGCATTATAAAGCGAAAAATGACATGCACATGCGAAACGAACACTATTTATGGTCCTCTCATGATAAATGTGTACATTTGTATGTCTATTTACATTGAATGAGTTTCAATGATAAATTTTTCTCGTTCACACTTTTCTTCTTTTTTTCTCCTCTGAGTGAAACTATCACAATTCATGCCATTGTACCAAATAAAAAAGTGAAAGAGATGAAAAAAAAATAAGGGGGGAGAAAGTGAGATGGAATGAGAGGTATTCATATTCATGGCAAATATTTAGATATTTTGCATTCATTTTATTTTTCAAACTGAACACAAAAAAAAGTTTTTTTTTATGCGAAACGAAAGTTTTTCATTCAGCTACATGAGAATGTATTCCAAAAAAAATATTTTGTTGCTAAAGTCATTGAATTAATAAATTAAATTATTGTAAGCGCATTTTCATTGAAAGTTTTCATATAACTTATTTTATAAATCATAAAATCTGTTTTTAAGGTGATTAATATTTACTTTACAGTCATGGATACCTTATGAAGAAGGTAATAACTTTTTAGATCAAGAGATTGTTGAATTTTAAAATGAAGTTGCATTTTATGAGAAGTGAACCTACAAAAATTTATTGGGCATTGAAATTTTAATGAAAACGTTGGGTTAAGATTAAAAAATTAATAATTTCACAGATTTCTTGATTGCAACTTACTAAGTTTTTGTATAAACTTCTTAGCATCCTGAGAAGCTTTGAACATAAAAAAAAGCTAATTAAAAGAAAAATCTAAGCTTTAATCAACATAGGCATAAGTACAACGATTTAAAGGGAATGGAATTAAATTCTTGTGATTAAAAATATGTCAAACCCTAAAGGCACACGATGTAAAACTCTGGGGATTAGGATGGTATAAACACTGCACCATGCCGGATTTGGTGGAATCATTTTTTGAATTAGTGAATTTCACCAAAACCGGTGAAAATGCAACGATTATGCCGTCCTGGACGATGGATTGATAGCCATTTCGAGAAAAAAGTTTTAAAAGTAACAGTTCCTTTAGAAAGTAAATTAAAAAGTTTAACGAAATGCTCTGTACCTAGAAGCCTAATGAGAAGTTTACATAATCAAGAAGCTAACACTTGGTTCATAAAAACTATCTACATAGCTTTTCTGTGGACATCATTGCAACACATTGTGTGTCAATCATGTTACATAAAACTAGATTATAAAGAGTAATTTGGGTTAAAACCTAAATCACTCTTCCCAACTATCCCGGATAGCACAAATCGATTAGTCGATCAGAAATCTAGCACCAAGCCGGTGTGACTCTTGCATTATGCTGGATTTAAATCGAAGCTAGTTCCATGCTATAGTCATGCCAGCTCTGCACCGGATTTCTTAACGATTAACCGACTTGTGTCATTCGGGTATGTGCTCTGAATAGGAGACAGGAGGCTCCAAAAAATTAGATTTTGGTTTTTTTGCAATAGATTAACAATCCAAATTTTATTTACGACAAACTTTTTATTCCTCAATTACTTTCCATAACATAGTAACATTCACATACTCCACTATAATTCATATCCAAGAAACTTTTATCAACAAAATTCTTGAAAACAATGCAAATACTTGAAAACTTTCCCATCTCGTTGGATAAGCGATAAAATAGAGCCAAACTGAAATCACTTGATTACCCAAAAACACGCTAAAGCATATTTTAGCCACAAAACGGCAATAATTTGCTTTTTCAATGCTCACAAGAGACAACGAGAGAACAAATTCCTCGAGTTCATTCCTAATGCCGAAAATAAAAATCCTCGGATGACGCAAAAGTTTTAAAAAGACAAAAGAGGGAAGAAAAAAAAAACTCATTGAATGTGAAAAATTTTAGCACAAAATGAAAAGTGGAGAATAATTTACATGCAAAAAAGCTACTGCTTTACGTACATTTCATTTGATAAGTTCTAGCTGTTGTTCATTAAGTTGAAGTTTCTTTTTCATTTTTTGGTCAAAAATTCCCACTGAATCTTCGCAACTTTGAATGCATTTACAAACAAACAAATAGAAAATGAAAAAGTTTTTTAGAGCTAAAGCTCTATGGGGATGGCATAAGACGAAGTAGTATTTTTTTGGAGTGAGAACAGAACATATATTTAATTCAGATAGCAAAGAGTAAAATGAATGGAAATCCAAATCGAGTCACGTAGTAAGAAAAGAAGTACTTTCGGGATATAGAGAAAAATTCATATTGTCTCTATTACTGCAGTTACGGGAAGCAAATAATTTCATGGAATGTCATGCAATAGTAATAAAAATTTTCAATGCGAAATATCTTATGATATTTTATTGTTGATTCAAAAACTTAGTCTCACTCTGTTCTTGTTTTCTCTGACTGTATGTCTCCGTCTCTGTCTTTATTCATTCTCTTACCAGAAACCACCATTATTGTTATTGCTACCAGAGCGATTCCGTTCTTATTTCTAGTTTCAAATTGAAATGAAAATTTTTTTTTCTTCTTGCACAAGTTTTTGAATTGCTTGACTGCGTTTTGGATGTCGCATAAAATGAATAAGAAATTTTTTTAAACACTTCGTTTAATACAAAAGTTTTCATTTTCATTTTCAATTTTTTTCATATTCGCCTTTACATAATTAGATATTGAAGTTTATGACTTACTGACGGCAATGAGATCATTGTTGGATCTTGATACTTTGTTGTTAGCAATTTCTACAATATTAAAATTCATATTAACATTCATCAACATGCTTAAAAGTCGATTAATCTGCAGGCTTCACAACAAACTTACCAGAAAGTTTCTGATTGCCCTGATAACAAAAATAGTAAACACTAATTTTACTATTTTGTAAATGATTAATCAGATCAAGCCACCAACAGCGAATACCCAACCCTTCCTTACCGATTTAATGACTTCATTACAACAACAAGCTCGTTATAATTTTCAGCTGCATATTGAGCTTAAAAGAGTTCACGCCAATTATAAATTCCAATATGCGTCCAGGACAAGTTTAATGAAATAGAAGAGACGAAAAAGAGTCAAGGGGATATTCATAAATGATGGAGGGTTTCAGAGGAGTAGGGCAAGAGGAGGGGATAGTTCTTCAATTTCTATAATTTAATAAGGATTTTTTTAATGAAAAGTCCTGAAGCTTTAAGTGATAAAATGGCATCAGTGGCCTTAATGGGAGAGCTTTGGCTTTACGTGCCAAGTCAAGTTTTAAAAGCTTTATTTCCATTTTCATCGTTCTAGTTACGAAGCTGTGTCAGGAGACATTATGTGTCTCCTTTATACCTAGGTATACTAGGATATAATAGCATCTGAATAATTTCACTACAGCATCTTGCGCTCAGGAATTGTTACTGGATACATTGCAGGGTAAATCAGGTCTTAAGATGAACTTGTGTATTTGCAATCTGCGGAGCTTGCAAGTGGTTCGTATTCCACCATAAACTGTAAGTTTAAAGGATGTTGTGGAACAGATTCTCTTCTAATTTGAATCACAGTGTCTCCAGCTCAAAAAAGGCTGGACCTTTCAAAAAAAGCCCCATAGCTTTAGACTAAACCCCTAATATTTTTAAAAACCATCATAATCGAACGACCCCATAAAAAATTTAATTCGTTCTTCAGCATGTTTCGTTGAGGATAGAAAAAAAAACTTTTCTCGTTGCACATTTTTATTTCATTTCTTTCTTCTTTAATTAAAATCCATAAAGAAGAATGAAATCATGAGTGAGATGGAGAGAGAGAGAGAATGGAATTCATTGCACGATGTGAAGAACAAAATAGCTGTGCATTGTCATTTTGCTAGATGAAATGAGTTTATCGTGTAAATCATAATTTAATTAGATATTGCACAAATTCACTTAATTATTGCTTTTACATGTACACGCATCTACCAATTAATAATGAATGAACAACATCACTAACCACTAAACTAATTATCTACTGCTCAATTTAACATTAGACGTACATTGTAATTAAATCTATTCACAAATTGTGCGTTTAAGACTAAATTAAATTACTGTCTTGAATTCATCAAATTTGTTCATTCACAAAACAATTTTTTGGTATAAATTTGAATGCATTTTATGATGTTTAATCAAGTTGAAGCTTAAAGCTCGATTAGAACAGAACAATAACGACAAGAGGTTCTATTCAAAATCAAAAAAAAAAAATGAAGCAATTTATCTTAATCACATTTTTGATTGCATCAATTTATGCACAAGCACCACGTCGTGATAGTGAATATCCACCACCTGAGTTATTGGAAGCATTAAAACCAGCACATGATGCATGTGTGAAAAAGACGGGTGTAACTGAAGAAGCAATAAAGGAATTTAGTGATGGAAAAATTCATGAAGATGAAAACTTGAAATGTTATATGGTGAGTATAGAGTTGGGGTGGCTTTGATGGGAAATGAAAAAGTTCGTGATTTTGTCTGTTTTCAATTTTTGAAACTTTTTTGTTCAGGAGGTGAAGACGCTATTGTTTCAATAATAAAGTCTTACAATAGCCTAAATTTTTGATTTTTTTTAAAAAAAATATAATAAGAAAATTATAAAATCATTAATAGTCATTTATATAACCCCCTTTCGCCCCACTCCAAAAATTGATTATTCTAATAAATTATGACGTTCATAAATTTGGAAGGGAAAAGGAATTACATTTTGTGACATCTGAGGACAAATGAAAATTATTTTATTCGAAACTTTTGTGACAGAGTTGGAGATGGGGGGGGGGGGGTTGGGTTTGGAATTTTATCTAAAATCTACTTTTATGAGGAGTTCATAAGCAGGGCTTGTGATGATTTTGATATTTAAATGGATGTTCAAGTTCAACTTGTGCAGTTGCATTTTTAAATGAATAAAATAAAATAAAATTTTAATAACTTATTCACACAAATTGAAAATTTGGTGTGAATATGAATCTTATGAAAAAAGTTAATTAGCAAAAAATTAAAACGGCTGACTCAGACGATGAGTAAAATAACTCTGTTATATCTTGCTTAAAGATTTGCATCCAAGGATTTTTCTAATCATTCAAAAAACGTGATCTCAGAAAATCATGAGAATTTCAACTCCTCATGTGGCCTGATCCTAAGTGACCCACAAGTATAGACTTTTAATACGACCAAAGATTTTGATTTTGCAAGATTCCTAGTTTTGCTAATTTCCTAGTTTTGCTAGTTTCCTAGTTTTGCTAGTTTCCTAGTTTTGCTAGTTTCCTAGTTTTGCTAGTTTCCTAGTTTTGCTGGTTTCCTAGTTTTTTATTAGTAGACATAAATTTATTTTTTGATTCTACTTTTCACCTTATTTTTTTTAATTTTATTCTTTTCTTTCTTTTATTTCCAGAGCTGCATATTTCATGAAACTAGAGTGGTAAAGTTTTTTCTTGTTTATTTATTGAGAAATTTGAGTCTCATAAGATGTTGCAAAAGAAAAGATTTATTTTTAAAACGCAATTTGAGTCAAAACTTGAAATTTTTTTGCTGGGTGAATTTATTTTATTTAAAAAAAATAATTGAAGGAACTTCAACCAAAACCTCTTTATAACACTTTTTAAAATTCATCGAAAATTGTTTGAACACTTAATAATTTTTTTTATAAAATATTTCGATATTTTTTATTGAAAAAATTGTTGAAACCTTTTTACACAAAGTATGGTTGATGAAGAATACTTAAAAAAAAAACTTTGTTTGCTGCTTTTCCATGCAAGCGTTTTTAATTACATTTATAGATTTATTGTAAATGCTCAATATTTATAAAAAAATAATAATCCACAAAAATGTAGGTTGATGATACTGGCAATGTTCACTTTGAGAAGCTCATAGAATCAATCCCACAATCATTACATGACAAAGCGTTCAACATGGGCAAGAAATGTTTGTATCCACAAGGCGAGAACTTATGTGAAAGAGCATTTTGGTTGCACAAATGCTGGAAAACTGCTGATCCTGTGGTATGTATTGCCTTGGTAGAAAAATCAAAAACTATTCCTCAATAAGTTCGAAAAAGGATCAAAAAATCCACAAGTTGACACTGTTCCTAACCGTGGAAATATTTACAATGAAACATGCTTGAGCAAACCTGTTCAAATATAAATCTAAACATTTCAACTCTAAAGTTTTAAAAATTCCATTCAAAAAAATTAAAATTCACTTCAATTTTCTTTTCAGCATTACTTTTTACCATAAAACAAGAAGCACTTGACGCTTGAACATTTTAAACAAAGCTTTGAATTTCAACATCATCATCAGAATAATGTTATATATACACACACCTTATGTTTGCTTATCCACTTTTATTTATGTCACAAAATTATTTTATGCATCAAAGATCAATAAATATACACATTGCAGAATTTATCAAAATTTTGTTTGATGTTCTTAACGCTTCGTTACTTTCAAATAGAATATAATGTTGAAAAAAGATTCACTCTATCTCGTTGCTCTATAAAAAGATGAGAGGAAAAAAAAGAACTCTGTGCGGAGATAAATGTTGTAAAGGATTTTCTACTCGTCTGGATTCAAATAAAAAAAACTACTTTTTGTTCTTATTTTATTATTTATTTTCTCTTTTTAAAATAGAACTTTCTGGGGACAATTTTTCTGTTAAAAATCATTTTAATCAACTTATTTTAAAAATGAGCAAAACTAATTCAGAGCAAAGGAGGAGCCCCTGCCAGACAGTCAAATTATTTCAAATCAAGAAACATCCTCGAAAAATTAATGCCTTAACTCTTCCACATTAATATTTCGATATATGAGAGTTTATAAATCTCAAAGTGAGTCTTAAACGTCCTTAAAATCCCAAACTGGTTCAAAGTTTCCAAGAATAGAGCTGTCTTTATACCATCCCTGGACGCAGCAATGGACCCACGTGCGCCCTAGTCAATGAAATGAGTAAGGAGGGCTCTAAATTGTGTGTCGCGGTACACTATTGGCAAAAGATTTTCAAGTGTGCTATAAACAATTTGTGTGCCGTGATCCAAAAAAGTTTGAGGAACACTAATATAAATAATAAAATCTAGAATAATATTTTTTTAAAAAAAAATGAGAACATTTTTTTTATTTTCCTGAAAAAATTTGGTCCTTTTTCAACATCAATGAAATTTTTAATTAACATAGTATTTTGATCACAATCTTGTTCTACAATAATTTCAAAACATTCGTCAACAATTTGATTTTACCGAATCAATAATTCAAAACTTTAACTTGCTTCTTATCCTCGTCTGACATTTTATCATCACCTTAAACAAAGAAGAAACAGATAATTTTAATATTTTGATAAAATTCTTGGATTGGAAGTTTGTAGCAATAAAATTCATAAAATGATGTCCAATTTGCAAACAATAAAACATGTTTTTGGAAGCTCACAATCAATAATTTTTTTATGAGCAAGCACAATTTATTTCTGCTTATTGAAAGTCAAAGTCAAATTATAATGATTTACAAGGTCTTATTAGAAAAAGTCATAAATGCGCAGCCAGAAATTTTTCGAGACTAAGGTTTAAAAATTTAAAGAGGAAGGGGAAAGGGAGGAATGAAACATGTTTTTACTTTACAAAAAATCAGATGAAATTATAGGAACTTCAAAAAGAATGGTTTTGAATCCAAGAACCTTCACTTGTCCCATTAAGAGCTATTAAGCTCTTAGAAACTTTATCACGATTTCCTATTCCCGTAATATTCGGAAAAGGAAGCAAATTTAACTCTTTACCTAAAGTTTTTAAAAATCACAGCTACAAACAATTCAAATAAAGCTTACCAAATCCCCAAATATTGATATTATCTCGTTTTGAGTCACCAGTCTTAATATATGATTTATCTGCCCAAACTTTTGCCATTCTTTGTGCATAAAGATGACTTCCATCTCCATTACTAATTGCATCTCTTTCAACCATTTCTATAAATGTTGTATATCGCTTAGTAACGATACCGAACATCCAAACAAAGTCTATTAAAGTTGCTGATATGTTGAACGTTGTGGATATTTTTTCGCTGGCCTGAAAAGTTTTGGTTTATGAGATTTATTAATATTTTAAGTTTTTTAAGTGAACTTTATTAAATTTGAGTCAAATTATTGAGTTTTAATGGTTTTCCTAAAACTTAATAAACAAGCAAGTTCACAAGTATTTATATAAGAATTTAGAATTAAACAAGAAACAAAACTAAAGTTTGCAACTATGAAACATTAATTTCTATTATCGCATAGCTATTTTGTGAATCATACCTTATAATCCCATGGATAAACGTAGTGATAATTATTAAAACCTGTAAAAAAGTTTAAAAATTATTAGAAAAGTTTCGATAAACAACTGCACTAGCTTGAATTAAAGCATTGGAGTTTGATAAAATTTGGAGTTCAGTAAATTCTCACCTTCGCCTAGTCCAAGTAGACTCAAAATATCAGAACTTTTAGGTGTAATATCTTTATTGTAAGGCTTCTTTCCAATAAAGTTACCAAATGAATTGATCATTAAACTCCAATGAAGTAAAATTAAAATTCGCATCATATTCATATGCCATGCTGATATTATGCTGTCATTGAAAAAGAAGACGCACACAAATGTTGGAAAAATAAAGTTGATGATGGTTGTCAATAGGACATAATTTGATTTTTGATATTGCAGCATTGAATCCTGATTCAAATCATCCATTTTGACATTTTTTCTTTCCACATATACGTCATGATGTGCTTCAGTGAATAACCAGCCAATATATGAGAAGAAAAATCCACGATTTAAATTGAATGGATCTGCATTAGTGCCAATGACTGAAATTACATGAAAAGTTTTTGCTTAAACAGTTCAAACATTGCTAAAGAATCTAAACTTACAATTATGGTGTAAACGGTGATACCTAACATAATGCAAGATTGATCCAAATGGAGAAAATGACTGCAGCATGACAAGAAAGTATCTAAAGAATTTAATACATTCAAAGCTACGATGTGCAAAGTATCGATGAGCAGCTATTGTTGTTCCAAGTTGTCCCATTATTAAAAGTGAGCCATAGAATATTAAAGAATTTAACGAAATTTGAATGAATAGTGTATAAAATGCCGCAACATGAAGATAGATCAGTAGCATCAAGTTCCCAAAATATATATTCATTGACATCGCGAAACCTGTTTGCGAATATAAAAATTGACATTGAAAGTTTGAGTGTGTCAGCAGTTTTTTGGCTTACAGTTTTATGCAAATAATTTAAACGTCTAGACCAGAGGCGTGGAACCTTTTTTGTGCAATGGAACACTTTTGTGGTAAGTCTTGACTAAAACCACGCACGGCATAGGTTTTGTGGGATTTTTTGATTTTTTCGCGATAAGTAGGTTAACCATGACTGGTCTAGACTCACATAAGGAAAATCCTATCCGTTATTTTGTTTGTAAAATTTGTTGATATTTTTTTAAAAAATTTAAACTCTATAGTTTGTGTAAAAGACATCTTAATAGAGGAACGTATTTGGGGTCGTTCACTTATAACGTCCGATATTAACAGACATTTTTCAAAAAAGAACAATGAAACTCCGGGAATTTCTTTTGCTCTTTGCTTGCTGAAGCACCCCCCCCCCCCCCCCCCCCCATAGACGTCGTAGGTGAACGGCCCCTTTTGAAAAATTTTAAAGATCGAGTTTAAGCCTAAACCTTCAGTTTTTAATTTTTTTGTATTATTCGAAAAGCAGTTGAAATTCCAAAATTTAACTCAACATTGAAAGCTTTCACAGAAATATTTCACGTAAAGTACAAACAATAATCCATTTAACATCACTTCCTCACATGAATTTAAAAACGAAAATGAATCGTTTCTAATATAATATCAAAATTTTTGTTGCGAAATCTTCTTCAAGGCCATACATTTGCATAAATTTTTTAAAAACAGATTTTCACGTGCGAATGTGGAGATGTTCGCACATTCATGATTTTTTTTTTATCATTTCTTCTTTTACTTTCATTTTCTCTTCACATCTTTACATGAAAAATATTTCAATATTTATTTTGAATTCATTTAAATTAGTTTTAGAAATTTAAATATATATTAGGATGTAAATTTACATAAGTGAAATTAGAAATATTACAATAAAATTCCAACGCAATAAATTGCGAACTTACAATTCACTTAATTTTCAAGCACTAACCTTTTATCAAGATTTATATTTTCACAATTAATAAATCAAAACAGACAAAATTTGACTTTTTACATGAAATTTTAATTTTTCTAAAATATTTAACAACCGTGAAGACACATCTGATTTTTGCGACTGTTTTGATATAAATGAGGAGATTGGCAAGTCTCCTAAAGTTTTTTAGAGTTTAGAAAACTCGTTTTTTTTGCATGTGACTTTTTATTTATTTTTAATATCAGACGAAGATCCACTGTGGACCAACAAAATTTTGCAAACAAGAAACACATTGATATGCAGTATCATGTTTTATTTTCGAATGGTTTCTTTCCTGTTTTTTTTAAAAATGTCTACAAATTTTGAAATAAAAATCACTTCGAAAAAAAAGTTTTACAAATAATATCAGATGGACAAGGACTAGACAATTTTTAGACTAAAGTCAATTTTTTGCTAAAAACAATTAAAATTTTAATAATATTTTATTCGCATCGACCAAGTTCGATGAAATACTAGCCATCAAGTAATAGTCAATGTACGTAAAATAGAAGTAAGAACAATTTTAAGCAACCAAAGAGAATGATCGACCTTTCGTCTAGTTATTAATTAAACATCATGTCTAGTACTCAAATTATACTTACTTACTTACTGTAACCATGTTTCTATGTGGAGCTTAGGTTACAACTTTCCATCTGATCCTGTTGCTAGGTCTGTCACTTATTTTGTACAACTTCTCTGTCCACACATTCAGCTGATATTCTTTCATCATTGTTCTGCACTGCTTTTGAATTACTCTTATTATGGACCAAAATACCTAGCAACATTTCACAATCTTTTTCAATTTTAATTAAACTTTTAAAATTTGAACAACATTAAAATTTAAAAAGAAAATAGTTTAAAATTACTCAAAAAAATTTTGTTTTAAAGACAACTCAAAAGTAAATAAATTTTCAAACAAATAACAATTTTATTTCAATATTTTCATATTTCTGAAGTTTCAATGCTTAAAAAGAAAAAGCAAAATCACTGTATTTATAAATGAAAAGAAAAATTATCATAAGGATCTACAAAAGAGTCTAGGGATGGAAACTTTTGTATTTTTTCATTTTTTATTGTGGACATGTTTCACAAAAAACCCCAGTTTGTATCAGAGTATCAGCTGCAGACTTTAAGGATGACAAAGATCTAAAGGAAAAAGGTTTCGAAGGATCCAGCTTTATTACGTTACGCAAAAAAACGACTGTTTTCACCCCCTCTTCTCCCCCTTTTGTTACAATATGTTACAACTCACCCCCTCCCCCCCACCCCCTCCCCCCCCCCCTGAACGTTCATAATTTATTTTATTTTGATAATTTTTTATAGGTAGTTATTAAGAACATTTAAATTTTCATTAAAAATGTGGAAAATTTAAAAAAAATGTACATACTTCTTGACACCCCCCCTTATGTTACATTTTGTTCCAATTTTTCATTTCTCATTGAACTCATGAACTCATTTCTGGTAATTAAAAAAACATTTAGAACTTAAACGGCTATGAAATCTTTAAATCTTTCACAATTTTATAAAATGTTAAGTTTGTTCCTTCTTCCTTGTGTCGTATACAAAAGCGTCCAGCCCAAGAAAAAATAATCACAAGTAAAAAGTATCTATAATTCGAACGAGAAAATCCTCTTCAATTTAAATTTCACTCTCTTAGCTCCAAAAAGAAAATAGACACGATGAACGATGGAAAAAAATGTACAAAATAAAGTCAAGACAGCATGAAGAAAAAGTTTAACTTTTTTTTCTCCTCTCGAAACGAGCGAATAAAGAGAACAGAAGAAGGAAAAAAAAAGCAAAGTATTTTGTAAATGACAGAAAAAGAAAAACATTTTAATTCACTGAAAACCATTAACAGAAATTTGCACCATAAATTTACTTCAATCAATATCACATTAATCATTGTTTCTCTTTTTTTCAACTCACTGCCATGTCTTAAACGAGGGCAATGAAAAGGAAAAAGAAAATAGAATGAGTAAAAGCCAAAAAAGTTGGTTGGGAGTTGAAATGAAAAATAAATTTGTAAGAATGAGGTCGACATTGGATGGATAAGAAGTCATCTTTTATATTCACCAAAATCGAAAGACTTAATTTTCGTAAAAACCGCTACATTTCCGTCTCGATTCCTCTTTTTGTTTAGCAATATTCTGTATCGGTATTGTTTTTTTGTGGTTAATAGATTTTATTTTAATAAATGAGGTTTGATGCTTTTCGGGTTGATTGATTGTACGTTGAATATAGTGTCTAGCTGTCAAATATTTAATATTTTAATAGTAAACCACAAAACAAGTTGAATAACTTTTATAACTTCAATGTTCTTCCATCACGATGAGCTAACTCATTGAATCATCTCTAAACAACATCCTTTTTAAACTTCAATCTCCGTTACATCTTCCTACATCACTTCTTGTTCACTTCAAAAAATCCATCTCCCTTCTTTCGGTGCGTATTTTTACTTATTATTAATTCTTTCAAATTATGTTACTCATTGATTCCACAATAATGCTGATTTTTCTTTTTTACAACATTTTTTTATGCCTTTAGAGGATGAAGATGGAAAAATAATGGCAGTAATAACAACAATAAGAATGAGAAAAGTAGAGACTTATGGCTTTTAAGGGCCCTCTCTATCGTTTCTTTCTTCAATTTTTTATGGTTGTAGTAAGGATAGGCTGGCCATTTGAAAGGATGTTTCCAAAAAAAATGATTGAAATAAGGAGATGCTTAGGGAATTGTTTACGAGTAGATAAGTATTTTTAAGAGTTTTTTATTTGTTTAAAAAAATATTTTTACTCCACACTTACTTACTTCCTTTCTTAGCTGGAGCACACGTGAGCCCATTGCCGCGCTCAGAGAACGTCTCAAGACAGCTATATCCTTCGACACTTTCTGCCAGTTCAGGATATTCAGCACTCTAGGGTCCTTTTCAACACAACCAATCCAAGAGTTCTTTGGTCTTCCTTTTGGTCTCTTATCCATCCACAAAGTCTGCTAGTGTTACTTTCAGTACCGAGGCATCTTGTGAGCGTCTACACACATGACCTGCCTATCTCAAGCGATTTGCACGAAGAACTGTAGCAATATCAGCATCCTAGAAAACCTGATAGAGATGCCGACATCGATACTCCTCTCCTTCCTTTACAGGTCCATAAATCGCTCGCAATACTCGTCATTTTTTACTCAATAGACTTAGAAATTAGACTTTGTGAGCTTTATGTGGTCTAATATACCAAAGAGTGGCTTTGTGGATAGGCCAGTAATACTTCCATTTTTTAAGGATAAGAGAGTTTGACTCCCGTCATTTGCTGATGCCTTCATGCACTTTAAAGATTTTTGTTGATATATCTAAAATTCACATGGCATTACAACCCATTTAAGGAGCAGCTCAAACAACTGAAAAACACTAGACTACCTCTTCAGCAAAGCATCTGGCTAGACTAACTAAGGACTGAAGTAATAGTCGGAAGAACGAAGGAAAAGGGCAGTAGAAGGAGGGAAAAAAGTCCATTAAAAGTAGCAAAAACATTCTGCTGACCGTAAAGAATTTTTCCTTCTCTTTCCACAGCATTTTTACATCCATCCATCCATCCAATACACAAAAAGAATCGAGTGAGGTTCCAAGTGTTTATAAATTTTTAAAATTCCATTTTCGGTATCGAAAATGAACCCTTCGATCAAATGGAAAGCGACTTTTCTATGGTCATTATATTATTTTTCATTTTACCCTGCCTCACACCATCGTCCATTCATTTTCATGTCCATTTTCGTCATTTGATAGATCAGACATCATTTGTGAGGTATTTTCTTTCTCCTCATTCCATTTCCATTTCACCATCCTCCTACCTCGTGCTGCTCGTCCCTGGCTTCTTTCTCTATACAATTTCATTTTATATATTTTTGTTAAAGCAGAAATAATTTCCTGAATCAAATTTTTAATTTCCTTTAATTTATAACATTTTGT